AGTTTCACAACGATCCCGTCGACTTCGAGATAACGAGGTTCGACTGTATACAGTGTGCATTGATTTATAATGTATACTCATATTAATTAGATAAATATCTTTGAGTTTAGCGGCGTGTGTGTGTGAGTGTATGTAGGTGTGTGTTTATGTAAGTGCCTTAGATACGCGTATCATGTTGTATGTACGAAAAACTATACAAATCAGTATTCAGGTTTTTTTCAATATTGCCAATATTATCATAATAATAGCACTTATAAATATTGATATTATCTAGTTATTATGTCAAACTGAATGTTTACCGCATTTTGAGAAATCTATATGAACCTGTTTATGCAAATCTGTTCCCTCCTTCTTTACTCCCCATGTTTACCCAATTGTGATCCTGTACTGTTTTTATGCTACTATGTCATGACAACACTCGTCTATCTTCTCTTTATTCTTATATTCAATCCACTTCCTATCCTCTCCCTGTCACGTGCTTCTTTCCCGAACAACTGTCCTATCCTGACCTCTATGACCCATGTGACCCCACCCCCTCTGTTATTGCTGAGTGTGTAGATATAATATCTTATAGGGTGGCGATCGGAAGTTTCTACCATCGTACACACGGTGTTCTGGTAAATAGTCATTATACTTTTAATATAAACTCCTTAGGTTACTAGGTAAGTGTAGGCAATGTGTAATATATATGTTATCGAAATGTATTTATGCTAAATGGTTCACACAGTCTAGTATTATCAGTAAGTCATATTTTCTTCTTATCCTACAACTACTCCTTCTCTCATGTAACGATGTCTATCCCAATCCTGGCCCTGGTGATCAAAATAAAGACCTCTCTATATTTCATTTAAGTATTCGCAGCCTTCGGAATAAGTTGACCTACTTGGAACATGTATCTAGTGATTTCGATATAATTTGTGTTACTGAGACTCACATAGACATAGCCGTAGCAGACGATGACATACTCCTAGATGGTTATAACATGCTCCGTAAAGATCGGGGAACTCCGGGTGGGGGATAAATGTTTACACTTCTGTCTCCCTGTGCACACGTCGTAGAATTGATTTAGAATTTCAAGTAGGTGAAGTTGTTTTGGTAGAAATCAGCTTCCCAATAGGACATTCATATCTATTATGTACTGTGTACAGACCTCCTAATTGCACACATATATTTTGGAATCACTTTCGTCTTTCTCTGGAAACAGCCATGAATGAAACTCCTTTTGTTGTAGTCGTAGGGGATATAAATGTTTACCACCTGACAAACGTTATCGACAGACCAACTAGAATTGGACGCACGTGCAGCACACTACTTGACCCTGTTCTTCTATCAGACACGTGTATTGTTTTTATGATAGCGGACGTAATTGACAGAGACCGCGACATTTCGGACCATCAAGCAAAATCTGTAGAACTGACTGTAGGGACAAATATTGTAAGACAGTATAAGAGGAAAATTATTTGTTATAAAGACGAAGATTACGAACGGTTAACATTTTACTTTTATCAATTGATTGGACTGAACTTTTTTTAAGAATCCATTCTCACGACGATAAGTGTGACATTTTTACATCTAGATATTTAGAATTAGCTGACAAATGTCTTCCTTCCAAATTTGTTACAGTTAGACATGCTGACAAACATTGGTTTTACTCTGACCTGAGACGTGAAATAAGGAAAAGAAACAGAATTCTCCAAAAATATAAATCCAATCACACTCCAAATAATTTGAACAACTTTAGGAAACAGCGAAATGGTGTAAACAATCTGAAAAAAGGACAAAAGAATTATTTCATGCGGACATAAATGGCCTTTTAGACAATTACACTGATACAAATCCTAGAAACTTTTGGAAACTAATCCACAGGTTAATAAAATCATCCGACACATATAGTAGTATACAACTGTTAGGGAATGCGACTGGAAATATAGAAGTGGATGACAACATAAAGACTAATATACTAAACGATTACCTTGGTTTCACTATCTACTTTAGACGATACTAACATTGACGTACCTGTTATAGAATCTAGAACAGACTCGACCATCTCAGACATACCGTTTAATATTAATGACATTATCGACATTCTAAAGACATTAAAAATCGGTAAAGTTGTAGGAAAGGATACTGTTAGTCATACCATGCTAAAGAACACCTCTAATTCAGTTGCTTATCCTCTTTCATTGATCTTTCGCTCATCTTTGGAAACTGGATCTTTTCCCAAACAATGGAAACATGCTCTAGTTATGCCGGATTTTTTAAAAAGAAGATAAACACGACCCTTCAAATTATAGACCTATTGCACTACTGAGTACTATTGGTAAAGTTTTCGAAAGACTTGTCGCTAAATATTAACATAACTAGCTTTTAGATGATTCTCTCATATATAAATATCAGTCAGGTTTTAAACCAGGTCATTCTACTGTACACCAGCTTATAGAAATATATCATACTATATGCGACAATCTTGAAAAAAAAACTTGTCTAATTTTTTGTGATATTTCTAAGGGGTTTGATAGGGGGCTGGAAGTGAAACTAGCTAGCTATGGAATATCGGGAAAGTTATTGGACTGGTTAATTAATTGTGTTACTAATAGATCTTAACAAGTTTTTTATTGGAAATAGTAGATCTTTTGTTAAGATAATAAATACAGGAGTACCTCAGTGTTCGGTTCTTGGCCCGTTGCTGTTTAAACTATATATTAACGACATAACAGATAATATAGAAAGTCTATCAAAACTTTTTGCTGATGAAACCTTTCTTTTGTATTCGGATAAATCACCACAAGTAATTGAACAAAAAATTAATAATGATCTCGTAAATATACAACTGTGGGCATATAAGTGGCTTGTTAAATTTAATCCTGCAAAAACAGAGGCTTTACTTATTTCTAATATTGAACTTGATCACCTCATTAAAATTAACTTTAGTAATGTAAGTATTGAATTTGTTGAAAACCATAAGCATCTGGGAGTATTCATCAATGCTAACTGTAAATGGACCTATCACATTGATAATATATGTAAAAAAGTAGTTAAACAATTAAGTGTCCCCATTAAATAAAATATATAGTCCTATTTTAGAATATTGCTGTGAAATTTGGGATGGTTGTACAGATACAGATAAGTTAGAAAAGTTACAATTAGAGTCAGGACGTATTGTCACCGGTTTACCGTCTTATGCTAGTAGGCAATCTATATATACTGAAACGGGATGGGAATCCCTAGCCCACCGGAGGTCACGTCGGAAACTGCAATTATTTCATAAAATCCATCATAATATTACTCCTAACTCTCTAAACACACTACTCCCTCCCCTTGTCGAAAATGCTCAATATAATCTTAGAATCGCCGAAAACTACAACCTGCCAAACAACAGACTAGAGTTATCTAACATGTCTTACTTTCCTTCTACTATTAGGCTCTGGAATCAGTTAACTTTAAGTATTAGGCATAGCTCCTCTTTTTCATCGTTTAAAAATGCCATTAGAGACAAACATTTGCCCCATGTACCCAATTAGTTTTTTCTACGGCGATAGAAAAAATATCATCTTACATACAAAACTAAGAAACCGTTCTAGCACTTTGAAATACGATCTATTCCGAGTTAACCTGTTTGATGACCAACGTTGTATGTGTGGTTACCCTATTGAAGACATCTTCCTTTTTTTTAACTGTGATAATTATGTTGAACAGAGAATTAAACTTTATCGTGAACTGAATGCATACATCCCCCTTACATTGAATCTACTTCTTTTTGGAGATATAACAATTGTAAATTTGTAAATATGTAAAAAAGGCAATAAAATATGTTTAAATAAAAAAAACCCACACCATTTCTTGTTTACCTGTGCTTAATATATCGAAAAAATGAATACATGCCTCTTAATTTAAATCTACTTTTATTTGGTGATACATCTCTTTCGGAACAGGAACACATAACGATATTCATGCATACTCAGCAATACATTCGTGACTCTAACAGATTCTATCTAGTACACACACATCCTCCCTAACCC